CAATCAAACCTCTGTTCCAGCATCCTGACCCCTCCTCACAAACGTCTCCCTTCTGTTGGAAGTGCTGCTGAGAAATACAATTTGTTGCTCTTTCAAGCTGACCAGCTTGGAGTTAAAAATATAGCAGGGCCTATGACACCCGGGCACGGCGTTCAGCGGGTAATCCTCGATTGTCGCTTTTGCTGAAATCTTTGCTCACACACATGCGATCCATGTCTAAATGGCCACGCACAGCCCAGGTCTCACTGGGAGTCAACCAATGCTTGGTGGTCAAACCAGGTCTCAAAAAAGCAGTAATAAATAATGTCAGCGCAAGTCCCGCTAATAAACAACTCACACGCTCAGGCTGGGCCCTGCCCTCAATAGCACACACTATCATTTTGCAAAGAGGAGGCTGCAGCTTCACATAAAACACCAGGCAGAAGGCGCCTCGACAGACCACGTGAGGAAAGCTGCGTGGGGAGGTCAGCAGGACCAGCCCTGGCACGCACGAGGCAAGACTGACCCCCGGGCCACCTTTGAGCATCTGGCTCTATGGAACGAGTGGCTGCAGTCACGGTTACAGGGAGGGAGGGCCTTTCGGGGCCAGGTCCTTGCGCCATCCCTCCCCGCGGGGGCCTCCTCTCTACAGTCGCCCTCCCTCACTCAGGACCCAGCTCCCTGCCTGAGAGCCGGGCACTCAGGCTTTAAGAAGCGAAGACAATCTGAACGCAATTCTCACCAACCCCCTCCCCCACTGCCGCGAGGGACAAGAGCCACTGCTGCTGCCAGCTGGGAGCTGTGCCCGGAGACCTGGCTAGGAGGGCAGGGCACCTGCAGGGGCGTCGGGTGGGCTCCTGGGGTCCCTTCCATCCTGGTACCACGGGTGACAGACATGAGACAAGAACGCTCACACATGCCAGCCTCCTCTGGCAGGCGGCGATTCTGATTCGCTCCCCATTTCACAACCCCCAGCTCCAAAACATGGAGTTTACCGCAGGCTGCGCGGGCTGCAGGGCAGGCCTCCTTCCCATTTTCAGAAGAGAAGGAAGAGGCAAGAAGAGGAACCAGCAAGAAGAAATAAGTGGCAAGGACAGAGGAGGGAGGGTAAAATCAGAAGGAAGGAGATGTCAGATAAAGAAAAGGGGAGTCTTCAGAACGTCACCCTCTAGGCCCAGTTCTGCCTCTGGAGATGCCCAGAACAAGCCCACGCCTTCCCTCCCAAGCCCTGCCATCACGACAACCAGTATCTGTCAGCGCTCCCTGGTGATATGTGTGCAGGTGATATGTGTGTAGATAAAGACTCACACATGTATCAAAAGATATCACAGATACACACATTTATACACAGACATCCACACATAGCTACACACATACACACGTGCACACACACACACACACACACACACACACACACACACACACACAGACACATTTACACAGCATACACACACACACGCACACATGCGCACGTACGTGACTTCCCCTATTCCTCCCAACAGTCCTATGTTGGTGGTGGTGGCAGTGCCGGTATTATCTGCTGCACAGAGATGTTTAGCAATTTGCCCAGGGGCTGCCAGCCTCCTGCCCCATCTCTGAGGCCTTCTGATCTGTCAATGCCCCGCCCCCCCAAGTGAGGATCTAAAGGTGAACACCGTGTTCCGGAAGGGTCTGTTTCCTCAGGAGGGGCTGGGAGGGACACAGCCCAAGGTCACATCTACCTGTCAAGGCCTCAGCTTCTAGCTCAGAGCCCGTACCTCAGAGCGGTGCCCACCCCAGGGCCTCCCTGTGTGCACGAGGACCTCAGGGCATTTGGCCTCTCCTGCCCGCCTGACTCTCCCGGGGTCCCTCTCCGTCCCTTTTCTGCAGCAGCCTGGAGAGGCTCTGGCTACCATCCTTGCTCTGGGCACTGCTGGTGCTCACACAGACCCCAGGGAGGTCCCAGCACCGGTCAGCGCCTCTGGTGGCCGGGGTTGATCAGCGCTGCCCGTTGTGCCAAAGGTCTGACCGCAATGCACTCACTCTGTACCTCCAGCCCGAGTCTCTCATGCACCTGGGCCCAGAGCCCACGCACACAGGGGCTCCTTGACGATGATGCTCACGCGGAACCCCTCCCGCCGGGGAGGTGAACGTGTAAAGCAAGATCAAAAGACCCACGAGAGAGAGTCTGCGATCCGGCTGCAGGGAAGGGTAGCAGGACACAGAGAGCAGCGCTGACCCTCGGCACAAGCCGCCTCCCCACCGTCGTGCAGACCCGCTCGCTTCCCGGCAGCTACAGATGTGGGTAAGAGCATGTGGAGGCCAGGGTCTGGGGGCAGTAAGTCCTGCACCAACCGCTGCCTGGCTGCGAGCAGGTTCCCCCCCCCATGCACACACCCC